GCCAGACTGTTTCGTTGGACTTGCACCGACTCATCAGGAGGTTGAACCCCGACAGCCTGCGCAGGATGCGTTCTACTGATGGATAAGGACTCACCTCATCACCTAGAGTGTGTATGTTCTGTGTGCGTACACATGCGCGTGCGTGTGAGTATGTGTGTGCTGTAGTGGGTTCGCTTCTCTCCCACTTTCTTGTTCCCCTTTATGTGTACTTCATCGCTGGTGCATGCCGCGCGTTGTTGGTACATGCTGCGTGAATGCCTGCCGACCACCGTTTACTTGCGGAAAGCCTTCAACAACTGCCCGCTGAGGGCCAAGTTGATTTGCCGATTCCCGCACGTTACGCTGATGCCAAGAAACCGACGGCTTACCTTCGTGAGTCCATTTATCGAAAGACCAACAGAGAGCCCGACGCCGAAGATCTACGGTTGGGGACAACCAAGGGCACAGAAGACCGCAGAAGTGAGAATTGGAGGCACTCATCGAAACCGAAGATGTCAGCAAACGGATCTACGAAAATTGCAGACAACGTGAGGCCGTCGATGCGCAGCGTCCGAAAAAACAGTACCCACGGGTGACGGGCTTCAGAGGGTTGGGAGGATATCATCACAACTTGGTAGAGATGTAGGAGCTGTGCCAGCAAGTGTGTTCTGCTCTTCATGTTGGTTGAATGCAGGAAGGTCAGGTTGAATTGGTGGGTCAGACTTGATGGGGACTATATTGATGTTGTTGATTGTCCTGGCTTCATGCATGGGAAACAGTGGCAGAACAATTGTGATGAAAGGAATCTTCTCTTGCACTATGATATTGATTTTTACTGGGTAATCACGAAATGCTTCCCAGATATCCCTCAGTGTGCTTTGCATGATCCCTTTTTGTTCCGAAGCGTTCTGTTTGTCATAAAGCTGTCAAACAAAAGTTTTGCATCGACTGAGGATCGGAACTTCTTGTTGTCTACTATTCGGCTTGTCAAAATACTGCAGAACACTGAAGTCTAACTTCTTTTACGGGAGCATACCGGCAAGTTATGGGATGCTGACGAAACTCACTATTCTGTAAGTGTTCCGGTTTTGCCTGACAGTATGCCAAGTTTCCATGGTGCTCAGCAGCATAAATCCTTGTCTTTCTTTGTCAAAATTAGGCATGCCAGACAAGAAAGGGAAACGACTGTGTCTTGAGGTTGTGACGGAGAAGATTGTGAGACAAATACGTGCCCCTCTTTTTTCTGTCAATGGTGCCATGTGCAATCAGGCTCGCTTTCTTTCACACTTCACATGCATGTAAACAGGTCGCACAGCAAACCGGCGACAAGCGGCCACTCAAAGCTCAGAGATATGGTAACCCAGAACACTGTTCCGATACAAGCTCGCTTCAGATGGTTAAGGCGCATCAGCGCCTGTACAACTCTCTGTTTGTCACTGCACCCTACTCTGCTGTTCACACACACTCAACTTAGGATCACCCTGAATATCCCACACGTGACACACTGTACACACACGCACGCACAGACTACACTCTTCTCCTAGCTATGACTGCTATGGACGCTACTACCTCTACCACTATGACTAAGTTCTCCTTCGGCATACTGCAGACCACCTCGCACAAGTCGCTCTGGCAGCTCTTCAGCATGGCTTACGCGGGAATGAATGAATGGCTGGGCTCTGCCTCTTGATTTATACTTCTGTAACCCGTTGGTCTGCCCCTTTGCCATGCCCGTGGTGCACACAGTCCCATACGGTACTTGCTTGACTGGACTAGGACTGACTGGGACTGGTACCGCTCGCTCAGCAAGGGTGGACTTCACCACTTGCCCACTTGCCTCTGTCTAGACGTGAGCCAACTTCGAAAGGCCACTACTGGGACTTTCCGGAAGTCTGTAGTCCTGGCCTTTCGAATACTGTAGCAGCTACGACCTTGACCTTTGAGGACTGTAGCAGCTACAACCTTGACCTTTCAGAAGTCTTACAGCTACGACTTCTAGAACTCCCGAAGACCTCTATCCGACAGGTCTACAGATGGAACCCCTACAACCTACGGATCCTATGACAGCCTACCCGACTGTTACGAATACACAGGTCACGGGTTCAACTCTCGGGGTCGACGCAGGTAATGTACACAAGTAAGGTAAAGTCTAGGGATCGAGCTCTGGGATCTGCATTCGCTACTGCTAGCAGGTGAATACCGTTTTACTCCCGCCGGCCTAAATTCGAGGTCCTCTGAGAATAACTGAGTCCAAGGCAGGACCTTAACCTTTCTTATCTCTCTCGTAGGCTCTAACTATGTCGGGAGCTGTTTCTCGAAGTTCCGTTCTTGTAAACCACCGGTCATCCTCTGGTTCCTGATAAGCAAACCGGACGTTATACTGTTTCTCTGGACGACCTCTACCTCCTGTTCTAAACACGTCTTCACCTACAATGCCGTCAATGTCGTACCTTTTGTCCATGTGTAGGGGGATCATGGATCTTCTAGATGGAAACTGTTGACTTGTGATACATGGCAACAACTTTGACGCATGAAATACGGGGTAGGTGTGGAGGTGTGCTGGGATCTCACTGTGTAGGACGGCCCATCCTCTCGGCCCTTAACTTCTAGAACTGGCCACGGTCCTCTATATGCGGGCAGTAACTTCTAAGAGATGTTTTCCTCAGGAGCAAACTCTTTGGACTTGACCCAGACCACGTCGCCCAACTGTGACGGGCGACGGTGCTTGTTAGCCTGTTCTATCATTCGGTGCTGGCCCTTCCTGAGGTTCTCTATAACGGTAGCTAACTCCTCCTCGTGCTCTATCGCGAACTCTCTAGTACCGGGTGGTAGTCTGTGAATCTGGTCCTGGTTAAGTCCTTCAAGCGGTCTGCGCGGTCTAAAGGACTTGTGCAGCTCAATGGGAGTGCGACACGTGGCTAAGTGCACGCTGTTAGTATTGGCAGGCAAGGGAACAAAAACTGCATATTTGCTAAATCTATCGACTATGACCATGACTTGGCTCTTGTCGTGCCTACTCTTGACACTAGCGTCCATGAAGTCAATGGAGACTGAATCTCCAGGTTGGTCAGGAATGGGTAAGGGTCGAAGAAGACCTAGAGGGGCACGCATAGTTGTCTTATTCCTCTGACAAACCTTGCAACTGCGAACATACTCTATGCATTCAGCTTTCATTCCCGGCCATATGTACGCATGCATCAAGTTGGCGAAAGTCTTTTGCCAACCGGAATGTCCCTCTGTATCGTGGCATTTCCCTAAGATCAAAGTGCGGATCTCCTCACTGTTGGGAACACACAGACGGTCTACTACGTCGGTCTTCCCGAACAACAATCCTTTTGTCGTGCGATAGTGTGGTTCTGTCTCTGGGGCCTCCTTAACTCTCTTGAGGAGGAGGTTATAGATAGGGTCCTGCGCATACGCTTGTCTTACTTTCTCTTGCAAGTCTGTCCCTACATCCAGATAGTGGACTAGCTCCAAAGTAGTATGATCTCTACTTAGAGCGTCCGCAACCACATTGTACTTGCCCTTGACCGGTTTGAGCTCAAAGTCATATTGGTCTATCTCAGCGGCCCACCTTGTCAACTTAGGTGTCATTTTGGCCTGTGTCTTCAGCCACCTAAGAGTCTCGTGGTCTGAATACACTTTGAAGTGCCTCCCAAGCAGGTAATGCTTCCAGTGTTCTAAGGCCTGCCTGAGAGCGTAGAGTTCCTCTCGTAAGTCGAGGTAGCTACCTTCTCTGAGGGCATCCTCGCTGACATGAACTCTACGGGTCTGTAGCCATTGTCGTCGTCTTGCTGTAACACAACGCCTATACCATACCAACTCGCGTCAGTGGTGACGACAAATGGCAAAGACGGATCGGCTACTTTGAGGACAGGGTACTCTATCAATGCGCGCTTTAGCTTCTTGAGCGCGCACGTACAGTCTTTGTCCCACTGCCAGATTGCTTCTTTCTTTAGCAACCGGCGAAGGGGAGCGGCGATAGTCGAAAAATTCCTCACGAACTTCCTATAGTAGTTAGCCAGACCTAGGAACGACCGCAACTCTGTTAGTGTGCGGGTTGTCGGGCAATCTCTAATCGCCGCTATTTTGCTGTCCTTTGGCTTAATGCCATCTCCGTCTAAAATGTGGCCCAAGTACAGGACTTGTGTCTTGGCCCACTCACACTTCTTCGCATTGATCTTGAAGTTAGCCTTTTTCAGCTTCTCCAAGACCTGCCTCAAATGACCCTGATGCTCTTGGAGGGTCCTACTAAAAACTAAGATGTCGTCTAAATAAACTACGATGAATCTATCTAACCAAGGCCTAAACAAATCATTCATACATCGCTAAAATGTAGCTGTCGCATTGGTCAGTCCAAAGGGCATCACTATGAACTCATAATGCCCATATCTAGTCCGGAAGGCAGTCTTGTACTGGTCATTAGGATAGACCTCTTTCTGATGATATCCGGACTTCAAAGACTTCAAATCCATCTTTGAAAAATATCTGCAACCCTGCACCCGATCCAGAAGATCGTCTATCCTGGGCAGCGGTTCAACATTCTTTACTGTGATCGCATTTAGACCCCTATAATCTATACACATGCGTAACTCTCCATCCTTTTTGGGGACAAACAACACTGGTGCTCCAAAAGGAGACGAATTGGGCCTAATCCAACCTTTTTCGAGGAGCTCGTCCAATTGCTTGCGCAGCTCCTCTAACTCCCTTGGGGACATTTTGTAGACTGCTCCCTTAGGAGTCCTACTGCCTGGCTCTATCTCTATCTGGTGCAGGAGCGCCTGTGGTACTACTCCGGTCGGCGGCTCTGCTAAGTCTATAAACTCTTCACACAGCTTCGTGATGGTTGGATCCATGGGTGTGTCTTCTCTAGGCTCAGTGACAGGCCTTACATAGGCTACGAAGACTTGCTCTTCTAATTGCTCCTTTCTCACTAATCGCGCTAATGCGGGAGCACTGAGACAACAATGTGCCCGGGAGTTGTCTACTCCTGACACATGAAACATGCTGGCAGTCTTACCTTACCTGACGGACTAGGGAGTCTACACTCATACTCTCTCAAATGGAGTGTGGCCCCTGCTGCCTCTCCCCAGTCCATACCTAGGACTATGTCAAAAGGGAGGTCATCCTGTACGAGGAGAGTCAGGGAATGGAAAACCTTCTCCACCTTCCCATCTTTCTCTAGGTGGAAATATGCCTGGACTCCCTCTACGTAGTCCTCAACACGCATCGTGCGGTTGTCTGCGAGGACGCTGACTATGGGGTCTGTTAACTTCTGGACTCTTAACCCTAGCCTTAGCTTCTTCAGCGCCCTACGACTAATATAACTGCGCGTAGCCCGTGAGTCTATAAGGGCTCCTACTCTGCTTCTAAAAACTTCTACATCTACTAACACTAGTTGTCTTTTACTTTCCTTCTTCATTTTGGCCCAGGCTGGCATCCTTTCTTTCAATTCTTTTGCCACGCCTGTGAGGGAAGTGCCCAGAGAGACACTAACACAGGTAGTCTCTGGACAGCTAACTAGGCACTGGCCTGCAACCTCTGCCATAGGCTCACGTGGTGTGGGAGTTTCCTGGTGGTGCGCGCACACTTCCCCACATGGCCTAGTGGTAGGGGCAGTTGTGACCCTTACTGGCGGCTGCCTTTTGACCCCTAGGCAGCGAATCGGGCTTCCCTATACTTCGGATAATATTTGATAATATGGGCAGGGTCACCGCAATAGATGCACTGCCCCTGCTCCATACGTTGTTGCCACACACGCTGGTCCAAGCCCAAGTCTTCCCAAGGCCGGCCGTGTGGCCAACCTTGGTGCCAGCCTCCTTGCCTCTGAGGTGACCTTCCACCTCTGCGCTGCGGCGATCGACTAGGCCTTGAGCGATTCGGCGGGGGACCTTGACCCCTACCTCCCCCTTGACGGTTCCTTTGACCGCCAACCCCCTGTGCACCCGGGCCTCGACCACCCATGGCCCGGCCCCCTTGGCCCTGGCCTCCTCTACCTTGCGGCCTCCCTCCAACCGCGACAGCAGCGTACGTCCTCCCCTGACTTACACCACTGTCCTCCTCCTCTAGCCCCCACTCAATCTGACTGTAGGGGACTTCGTCCGTACCACCCTCTTCCAAACTAAAGATCAGGTGATCCTTGAGATGGTACGTCGCTTCCACTTCTTTCCCTTGTGTAAGTCCTTATGCCAGAAAGCGGAAACTGGCATGGACTTCGCCTCGAACAGGACCACTTCTCTACTTGATGCATCATACGTACTATTGGCCTGTTGGGTCTTGTCAAAGAAATGCCCTTGTAGGGGCTCTGGCATGGCACGATAAAATAAGTTCACCAACTGGGTCTTAGTGACCCCGTGGTCTGGGATGGCTACAAGGTCATCCATCACTGCCGTGAGTGCTCTTGCACTCTTCCACTGCCTGGAGTGGATTGTTTGCAGCTTATCGGAGGCCCTGGCGCCCCTTGTGACGTCAACGGACCTCTCCCAGGAGTTTGAGGAATGTAGGAAGAGGGGTGAGCCTAGAGTACGCAACCATATTGCGCTCACAATCGGTTGCGCGCGCAAGGGACCTGGCAAAGCTGGCCGCTTCATCCTTCAGCGCATGGAAGGCCATGAGGACTTGTTCCTCTGGCGTGATATGTTGTAAATACACATACGCGTTGATGCTGGCCTCCCAATTATCAAAGTTATTGTCCTTTTTCCCGCTATAAGAGTTTGGAAACTTGAGCTTGACAGGCTGTTTGCGAGGACGCGCTTCGGCCTCTGCCGTGGCCTCTATCTTGGCGCCTTCAATGGTGCCTGCACAAGACTTATCCGAGCCTTCCTTCAGTCTCTTAATTTCGGTCCCGACGTGGGTTACCACATCGCGCGCAAACTCTCTAAACCCAGTCCGGATGGAATGGATGGTCACCTCTTGGCCCTTATTAGCTTGGTATTGCTCAGTCAAGGCCTGTCCCAAAATCTCTAGATAACTCAAAATCTTGTCTAGTTTGGCCGGAATATCCTGCTGCGCTCCCACTTCTTGCTTACACGATTGTATCCTTTCCACTTCCTTGGACATCCGGTTGGCCTCCTCCCTCCTCGTCTTCTTCTTCCTTGCCAGACGCAATTTGCACTCCAATCTCTTTTCATCCTCTAGCATCTGGCGGTCCAGGGGATCCTCCATAGCTTCCAGCTCCTTGGCTACCGCTTCTCATCCTGAGGCACATATAACATTGCCTCTTCGTCTTCTCCCAGTGATAAATTAGCCACCCATTTGGATATCTTCTTCTTCATCCACAAATCTTCTTCCTTCGTGCCACTGCTCTGTCCTCTCTCCTGTGCGCCTTCTGAGGAGTCCTTTCAATGCTTCCTCCTCCTTTGCTGCTGCTTCTTCTCCTTTTCTCTTCCTCCTCCCTCTGTAATCTCATCATCTCCTCCTCCAACTTTTTTTTCTTCGTCGCCCGCTCCTCGGCGATTGCCTTTGACTTCGCCTGCTTGAGGAGCTCCTTCTTCTCTTTTCTCTCTCTTAAAATGACGGCCAATTGCTCCTCTTGAGCCTGGGTATAAGGGGTAATACTCTTCCCACTACGGGTGTCCACCATGGTGTCAGGCGCACAACTGGATGTTAGTTCCACTCCTCACCGCTTAGACTTCTACCCCCTGACTGACACAACCTACTGACTCAATCTATGGACCACAGAATCCGGACAGGACCCTGTCAACTAGGGTCACTAGCCTGGACCTACTCTAAGGCTGTCACTACAGGACTCTGTCCTAATCAGGAGGCATTTAAGGAGATCCCCCGTAACTCCTCAGGAATTATTTAACGTCGCAAACAGGACGACGCGATCAGCAAGTCCTCTCAAAACTTAGACGGCCTATTGTGCAGCCCACAGCTCGGATTTTGGGCCTACCGTGCCACACTGAGCAGCCCGCCGGCCAGAACCAGTCCTTGGGAGGGTTCGTGTCCTCCGGGACAATCGAGTCGTCAGACACAGTCTTTAGCCCTACTCAGCCCGTGTGGGTTTGGTCAACAAGGCCCTATTCTTCATCCACGATGCAGAAAGAAGAGACAGACTGACTTAACTCAGCAAGTACCACAGGGTGTGTGCGCATCCATATGGCGAGGGGATTGGCTTGAAGGTTTGGCGAGATTATACCGGCTCCAGCTTGGTCAAAGTCGTGGTCAACTGTCTTGGTCAACGCCTTGGTCAACGCCTTGGTCAACGCTTGGTCAACGCTGGTCAACTTCCCGGTCAACTCCGGTCAACCCTTGGTCAACTCAGGTCAACTCCGCTGGTCAACTCTTCGTCCGGCTATGGCTGCTGCCTTCTTCCTCCTCACCAACCTTCTTCTTCTTCCTTCCTTTCTCCTTCCTC